TTCTTGAGCCAGAACGCCTACTCATAAGGGGTCCACAATGGTGAGCCCTTGTCATTAGGTCTTTTGCGCTTATCCAAATTTTGTCTCCCCTAATGATCTGGGCATTCGAACAACACCCCAAGTATTTAGGTCGGCCTCAATAGAAGGCATAATCCTTAGGTCAAATAACGACAGGCCGGAATTAAAAACTAGGGTCGGAATTAAATATAGAGGTGTTATTAATTGATTGTCTTAAAAAGAAGAGTGCTGATATCATTATGAAGGTACTATAATAATAGCATCTTGCCATCATGCTGATCTTTTTTATAACCTTAATTAGCTTTCCACTTTATGCCAACACTGGCATATTATGGTCATATAACTTTCCATTGAATTTTTCTTCAGGTCTACTGTTGATGACTTGTGGGACATGGCAGCATCCAAGATAGCAGCTGTAATGAGAACCCAGTCTGTAAGTTACATCATTTTTTATTCTAGTATATGGGTTGGTTAGTTAGGTGGTTGTTGAGCAATTTTAATTTACTGTATGTTATGCTCAATACCAAAGTCCATAATAATTATAATAATAAAATACAGTGAAACCCCTCTATACCGGACCCTCGATCAGTATACCGGAATTCTCTCTTAACCGGACAAAAGTTTTGGTCCTCAATTTTTCCCATATATCTTTTGTAAAATAAATCTCAGTAAGCCGGAACCTCTCTATTCCGAAAACTGGATGATAATTTCGGTACCAAACGCTATTTGACAATAGAATTCAACCCCGCTAGTCCGGAAGAACGTACCTTTGTTTCGGAACTACCGTCACTAGCGTATTTGTGGGTGTATAAATTGAATCTACAGGGACAACTTCTAAACTCACAAAATTGTCGAAAATTTTCTCTAAATAGTAAATCTTGTTCACAAATGGACATATAAAGACTAATTAATTGTTTTCAATGTCTAAATGTTCAAACAGAATGCATAAGGAAGGTATACCAGAAGCCCCGCTAAACCGGAAATTTTTATCGGTCCCAGCACTGTCCGGTATAGAGGGGTTTTACTGTAATTATATTATATGACTTTTTTTATGAGGGTAAACCTCTTCAAGACTTTCAATCATTCAGTTTGTATGTTTGTTGAGTTAATCATTCATTCTTTGTTTCAATCCAGTGGACCCTGTCCCCACCCAACCACCCTCTCATTATTCCCCTCCATCCTTCCATTCCTCCCTCCCTCTGCTCAACCACCCACCAATCCATCATCTATTTCCCCTAACATACAATGTATACCCACCCACCTACCAATCCATACATCCACTCCTCCCTCCCTCTGTCTATATACCCACCCACCCATCAATCCATACATCCACTCCTCCCTCCCTATTCCTATATACCCACCCACCCACCAATCCATAATCCACTCCTCCCTTCTACCCACCAGTCCATACATCCACTCCTCCCTCCCTTTGTCTATACTGTATACCCACCCACACACCAATCCATACATCCACTCCTCCCTCCCTCTTCCTATATACCCACCCACTTACCAATCCATACATCCACTCCTCCCTCCCTCTGTCTATATACCCACCCACCCATCAATCCATACATCCACTCCTCCCTCCCTCTTCCTATATACCCACCCACCCACCAATCCATACATCCACTCCTCCCTCCCTCTTCCTACATACCCACCCACCCACCAATCCATACATCCACTCCTCCCTTCTACCCACCAGTCCATACATCTACTCCTCCCTCCCTTTGTCTATACTGTATACCCACCCACACACCAATCCATACATCCACTCCTCCCTCCCTCTGGCTATACACTCAACCACCCACAAATCCACCCATCCGATCCTCCCAAAATGTGTAATTTATTGTAAATTTTAATAGAAACACTGTGTTTAATTTTAAAAGGTTATCATCTATCTATTACTATCCATCCATCCACCCATCCATATCCATATTATTGTTAATTTATGTAACTGTATTTTGTTATGTGTTTATTTCATAAACAAAGTTAACTTTGAGTGTGTTGCTGGTCAGCGGTGTGTTGTCAACAGCGCATGCGCTACTGTGGCCATTGCCCTCATGGTCGGCCATTGCTTTCAATCGCTTAGCATTGCTGCCTATTGTTGCTCCCGCCCCACCCACCCTCCCTGATGTTTTTAAAAAAATGGTAAGTATAAACTTACACTGTGTTAACAGTGTGACGGGTACTGAGGTTGACCCATGGCTAGGTTGCCATGGTTACCACTTGCCCATTGCTAGCCCTTGCTGTCGCCTTGTGGCGTTGTTGGCATCTACCCTCCATATCGAAAAGTGAGAAGTTAATAACTTATAATAATGTTTTCACCAGACATACTGCAAGGAGACGTCATTACTGTTACAAGTGAAAGAGCTGATTGTCTGGTTCTGTTACACACTCTCTGTAAGTAACTATAACCAGCAAATTAAATTATCTTTTGTTTTCATTATGATCATAAATTTATTATTATGTTATTTCATGAAGGGGTTTTCCACCATGACAGCTCACTTTGGCATAAAATTTGTTTCTTGGTGTCTTTACAGGGTTACGGTCTTAACGTTAATCAGATTTACGATGTCCTCATTGAAATGAGGTATGGTATGCAATGTCTTTTTTCAAGCTGTGATATTATTCCTGGTTATCAGACGATGAATGAATAAGGGAGTGAGTGAATGAATCAGTGATATGTTATCTGAATGATCAAATAAATAAAAAGAAATTATGAATAATGAATGAGTGACAAGTAATTGAATAAGCAATTGTTATTAAATATCAAATGAATGACTAAATGAACAAAAAATGAATGAATAACAAGAATATTAAATAAATAAATGACTGAGGTAACTAGACATTTCCACCTTACAGCAGATTGCAGTTAAGTGTTTAATGGAAATAATTTGCATGTTTGTTTTAATTATTTGAATGTCTCGTTGGTAGATTGAATTTCAACTTTTGCTAGGGGCAAAGATAGTGTTTTGCCTCTAATAATTTCGCGTTCTCACGTGAAGTCAAGAGAAGGCAGCTTAGTCATGAGTCTAAGTCTTAAAATGTTGGTAGTTGAAATTTTAATGAGTTTTACAAATGCTACACAAATTTGTTAAGCAAAAAGTAAGTGGGAGATAAGTCCACTATTTCATTGTTTTTGCCAACCTTATGGTCAAAGAATACTTTAAATTTAATATTGTGATTGTACGTTACGATTGAAACCCTCTTTCGCTGACTACCACATTGTCCATTTCAGGCGTGAGAATAGTGTTCTCTGATTGATTAGGTGGTCATTTATTTTAAATCTGCCCATGCTAACTTTGAACTTCCTGTGAGAACGCATGTATAATTAGAGGGTAAACATTGAAATTGACCTAACAACGACAATTATGTTCAAACAGTCAAAATAAATGTGCAAAATGTTGCCATTAAAACTTAACTGCTGAATTTATGAGCTTGAAATAGACGAATAAATGAAATTGTGTCTGTGTGTGTGTCAGAACCAAACAATGGAATAAATGATTCAATGTATGAAATATTTATGATGAACTAATAGCTGAATGTCAAAAAACTACAAAATGGCTTTTGCACATACTGTACTGTAGTACAGGTGAAAATGTTGCTGCCAGGGTTGTGAAAATTGAATTTATCATCTAGCCTGAGTAAACAAATATGATTGTTGTATACAGGAATCTTTATAATGAAACACTAATGAAAGAATGGGAAGGAGTTTTGAAGTAAGTACATCATCACTGTTTTATGTTATGCAGGGTCCCTAGCTCCTCTTTCATTGAATATTTTAAGAAGCCTGAAGGGATAAGTTGTTGATCTTGAAGTATTTATCAAGAAAATTATATTTTCAAAATCACTTATGATGTCAACAATTTACGTCATCTCATTTGCATATTGATAT